AGGAAGATATCAACGACTAGTTGGCAAACTGATCTACTTAGCCAACACCAGACCTGACATTGGATTTGCTGTCAGTTTGGTCAGTCGATTCATGAGCAATCCCAGAGAATCTCACATGGAGGCAGTTTACAGAATTCTAAGATATCTCAAAGGGTCACCTGGAAAAGGTCTATACTTTCAGAAGAACTCAAGTCGAAGTCTAAATGTCTACACAGATGCTGACTGGGCAGGATCACAAACAGACAGGAAATCAACTTCTGGATATTGTTCTTATGTCTGGGGTAATTTAGTTACATGGAGGAGTAAGAAGCAATCAGTTGTGGCTAAAAAAAACGCAGAGGCAGAATATAGAGCTCTAGCCCATGGGATTTGTGAAGGAATTTGGCTTAAACGTCTTCTCAGCAGCCTACATGTACCTTGTGAAAAGTTAATTCATCTCCACTGTGATAATGAAGCTGCTCTCAGTATTGCAAAGAATCCAGTTCATCATGATCGCACGAAACACATTGAATTAGACAGACATTTCATCAGTGAGAAGATCGAAAGTCAAGAGGTCAAACTGCATTATGTGCCTTCAAGATCACAAGTTGCTGACATCTTAACTAAGCCTCTACTTCATTCTTTATTCAGTACCTTGTGTTTCAAGCTAAACCTTATTAATGTATACGGCTTAGCTTGAGGGGGAGTGTTGAATTATGCGTAATATTAGGATATTATTAGCCTCGATTCACTTGACTATTAGGTGTTATTTGTTTCCTAGTTTGATTCCTTAATTGTAGCAGTATATTTAGTTCCCTGATTGTAGCAGCATAATTAGCCTTCTATTATGCTTAATACTTGTATATATTCGATCCTAATTCAATGAGAGAGCTAGACCATTTTCTCCATATTTTGCTTCCTAATTCTACAACTTTGTCATCTAATTGTACGATCATCTTCATTCTTGTACAACATCATTCTACATAGGAGTATGGCGACCAAATCAGAGCAGCATGAAATCCTAATTGATAATTCTATTAACTTTTTCTTCTCTCTCTTCTTCGAAACCTTCCTCTTACCTTCTTCTACTATACTTCACCTCCATCCTGTTCCTCATGCATCTATTTTCTTTAGTTATGAATTCCCCGAGCACTTCGCCCCAGTTACTCAAACGAAATAAAAAGAAATAATTAAAAAAATAAAAAATAAAAAGTTGTCAGGAACTGCAGTCAAACGAAGAGCTGAAGACTGCGCACAAGCATGACAACACTGGCATGACATGAGGAGCTGAAGCTGAATATATGTAGAGGAAGGGGTAATGTGCAAAGACACACCATGGCATGTGCTTATGACAAGGGATTGCAGAATTCAGTTGGACAGTTACAAGTTGTTAGTTAGTTAAGTCTGTTTGTTAGTAGTTAATTTATGTTTGTGATCTGTTTTTACTGTTTGTGCACGTGCACATGTAACCAGTAATGAATCAGTGAAGAGTATTGTATCGGAGAGGGTATAAATGAGAAGTTGTAATACTGAAAACATTATGAAGGAATAAAAATTGTTTTCTTCTTCTCAATTTCATCTTAAATCTCTCTGTTCTTATTTTCTCAACCCTCACAATCTTCTTCACAAATTCCCTGCCATTAGTGTAATTTTGAACTAGCCATGGCTAGAAATAGCAGTTCCAGGTTCAACAGAGGAAGTAGATCCTCTCAATTGGTATCAGAGCAACAAGAAACTGAAGCTGGCGCTAATGAATTCTTGAATGATTAGGAGGAAACTGAGGCTGAAGAAGTTGCTTCCGATGAGAGAATGGCTCGATTAGAGGATGATGTCCTTCGAAACAGTTCCTTTAGTCAACAACAGGAATCACTCAATCAAAAGCTCTCAACACAGTTGAGTGATATCTCTTCCAAGATGGAATTTATGATGCAGGAGATCAAGAACCTCAAGAACCCTAATCAAGGAGTTCTGCGTACTGAATCAAGAGGGAATAGGGAGAAATCAATAACAGGAGCTGGCGAATCTAGCAGGAGTGGTCACGGTGCTGGATATGTCCCTCCACATCGAAGGATTGCTGAATTCACTGGGGAATTCCCACCTAACAGCTTTGGTAATTCTTCAACTCAAAGAAATTCCTTCTTTAGCAATCAAAAACTTGTTCAACCAAAGTCTCTACGTTTGGATTTTCCCTCTTTCTCTGGATCTGAAAATGTTATAGCTTGGATAGAGCAAACTGAACAGATCTTTGAATATTATGATATTAAAGATGATGAATGGGTCAAGGTTTGTTCATTCTACTTAAGGGATGAAGCCTTACAATGGTATAGATGGCTCACTAGGAATCTTGATGATTATTATTACTGGCCTGTTTTTAAAGAAGAATTAATGACCAGATTTGGACCTAGTGAGCTCTCAAGACCATATGATGCCTTCTCTACCATGAAACAAACTTCAACCATTAGAGAGTACTTAGGAAGGTTTGAATAAACTCTGGGTTTATTGGATGAACAACCTTCTCGACAACACATCCTAGAAAGATTTATTGGTGGACTCAAGGATGAATTGAGGTATGAAGTGGCAGCTGCCAGGCCTAATTCTCTAAGAGGAGCAGTATCCTTAGCTAAATTGTTTGAGGATAAACAAAGGAATGACAGAAGGCCCAAAGGCAATTGGAGTAATTACAATTCAGGAGGTTCTTCAATGAACTCCCCCTTTAACCCCTCAACTAAAGACAGCTCTCGACCATCTCCTCAATTTAAAAAAATGACCCCTGATGAGATACAAAGAAGGAGAGTCTTCTACTGGAAGGGAATGAAAAAAGATGTACAGGCTTATGTACAGGCTTGTGATATTTGCCAGAGATCTAAAGGAGAGAATGTAGCATCCCCATGGCTCTTACAACCTCTCCCTGTACCAGAAATTATATGGGAGGAAATATCTATGGACTTCATCACACATTTGCCTAAGAGTGGAAATAAATCTGCCATCCTTGTTGTTGTTGATAGACTATCCAAATATGCTCATTTCTTTGCACTTTCCTACCCCTACACAGTTCAGACAGTGGCTCGGGTGTTTTTTGAAGGGATTTTCAGATTACATGGCATACCCAAATCAATTGTGAGTGATCGAGACCCACTGTTTACTAGTTTGTTCTGGAAGGAATTGTTCAAGTTGCAAGGAAGCCAATTAAAATTCAGCTCCGCATACCATCCTCAGACAGATGGTCAAACTGAGATTACTAACAACATTTGGAGAATTATTTGAGGTGTTTTTGCTGCCACAAACCTAGTGAATGGAGTAAATGGTTAACATTGGCTGAATTTTGGTATAACACCACTTGGAAAAGTTCTACACAGACTACTCCTTTTGAGGTGGTATATAGGAGACAACCTCCTTTACTCTCCTATATCCCTAAGAGTTGTCGAGTTGAAGCAGTTGATGAAGTTTTATTCTCAAGAGATATAACTCTGAAATTCTTAAAGGACAGTTTGAAACGTGCTACAGAAAATATGAAACGTTTTTCTAATGCACACAGGAGTTACAGAAGTTTTGCTGTAGATGATTGGGTTTTTCTCAAACTCCAACCTTATAGACAAATCAATGTTTCTTCTAGTAAGCCTCACAAACTATCTCCCAAATATTATGGTCCCTATAGAATTTTGGAGAAGATAGGGGAAGTTGCTTACAAGCTGGATTTACCTGCACAGTCTCATATCCATCCAGTTTTCCATGTATCCCAGTTGAAAAAGAAAGTGGGTACTGACATTATCTTACAAGATGATTTCCCTAGTTATGTCTCAGAGATTGTTGATGAACCTGAGCACATTTTAGACAGAAGGTCTATTGTAAAGGGTAACCACTTAATATCCCAGGTTTTAATTAAGTGGAAGCAACGCTCTTCATTAGATTCTACTTGGGAGTCTTATTGGGATTTGGTTAAACGTTTTCATGCTTTTGACCTTGAGGCAAGGTCAAATTTAAGTGGGGGGAATTGTCAGGAACTGCAGTCAAACGAAGAGCTGAAGACTGCGCACAAGCATGACAACACTGGCATTACATGAGGAGCTGAAGCTGAATATATGTAGAGGAAGGGGTAATGTGCAAAGACACACCATGGCATGTGCTTATGACAAGGGATTGCAGAATTCAGTTGGACAATTACAAGTTGTTAGTTAGTTAAGTTTGTTTGTTAGTAGTTAATTCTGTTTGTGATCTGTTTTTACTGTTTGTGCACGTGCACATGTAACCAGTAATGAATCAGTGAAGAGTATTGTATTGGAGAGGGTATAAACGAGAAGTTGTAATACTGAAAACATTATGAAGGAATAAGAATTGTTTTCTTCTTCTCAGTTTCATCTTAAATCTCTATGTTCTTATTTTCTCAACCCTCACAATCTTCTTCACAAATTCCCTGTCATTAGTGTAATTTTGAACTAGCCATGGCTAGAAATAGCAGTTCCAAGTTCAACAGAGGAACTAGATCCTCTCAAAAGTAGAAAATAAATAAAATCGAACCATTCATGCTACCGAGACAAGTACCACTTGGTTACTCGCTAATATAGATATCAAATCTATAACCAAACATGAGTCTGCCAAGTTTGGATTTGGATTCACTAAGATCCAAGAATGGCCCTGATCAAATCTGAATCCAATTTTAGATCCCAAGTCTGGCCAGATTTCATCAATCATAGAAAGTACTTCAAGACAGAAACAGATTTTCTGCCTGCACATCAAATCCGGTTATTGAATTATGCAAGGGTATGTTTGTTCAAGAAAACATGTGCATGTTTTAGCCCCCGTCTTGATACAAAATTATATTTTCTGAGACTCTGGCAATTTTGTTACAGGACATCTTATCTCTCAGATAAACAATCACAAAATTTCAGATTCATTACAATTCACTAATGGGAGACTTCCCTTAGGTGAAGCACCCAAAGTATATAAAAGCCCGGGTGGTTTAAGCAACCCCTTGCATGCAACAATATTTTAAAAAATAAAATAAAGTTTGGAAAATAAATAACCTTTTGAATATATCAGGCAAGTTGTTGTCGGTCATTTTCTGAACCATTAGTCCGAGGCATGCGCCACTTGCTTACACGCTCTCGTGCAACAGCTACCTGCAAGTAAATCAAATTTAACATAGGGGTGGTAAACGATCAAATCGAATCGAATACTAAAATATTTGTATTTGTATTTGTTTAAAATTATCGAATTCGAATGCGGACTCTAATATTTATATATGGAGTTTTTCGAATTCAAACTCGAATATTTGGTATTTGATAAATATTCATTAATATGCACGAATAATTATAAAATATCAAAGTATATTTATTCCGCTAAAGAATTTGATTTTCAAATAGTATTTAAATTCATAAAAAAATTATTCCTTCACAATATATGATGTATATATATTTAAATCAAAATTTTTGTTAGAAAACAGATTTATAATCATGTAAGTCTTAAAACCAGTACATAAAACTTAAGTAAAATGGTAACTCTGTTAAAAATATGACGTCATATGTGCAATAATATAAATAACAAGTGATCAAAATTTAAACGAATATTTGATGGACAAACAAATTGAATATACATCTGGTTAAATTCTATTCGTTAGTAAACTCGAATACTAAAAAATATTTGTTTGGTGGTAAATGAACTACCGAATATGATCGAATAGTTACTCGAACGATTATCGAACTATTTATTAATTATTTGGTTCATTTCCACCCATAATTTAACAATTACACAATTTTATAAGAAAATTGTGGTCTGAAAATAGTCATAAATGTATGCATAATTTGAAAGCCAAATTCTAAACTCAACTAAGAGCTCCAGATATAGATAATTTCAAATTCAGAGACAATTATAAGTAATTTGTTTTGAACCAGTTTTCAAATTCTACAAACTATAACAAAACCTTCAACCCAAATTTTTCGGGTAGCCTAGATTAATACTTCCTTTTTTTTTGGTCAATGAAGTAATTTTATTCATTCACCAAATTGAAAAAGTTAGTACATCAAGATCTCTTCAAAGAGAAACTAACAAAAACTTCTAACAACAATTATATCTAACTTTTACAAAGATAGAATCCAATCTCTATTTTCAGCTGAAATAGGATTGTTCATGTAAATGGTTAAGATATCAATTTTGATATTCCGAACCACTTGAACTGTGCCTCTTGTTTTCTGCTGAAAGAACCTGAGATTCCTTTCCCTCCAGATGCTGTATATGGTTGCCGATATTGCCATCCTCTTCATATTCTGTTTTAAACCATTGCCTCTCAACTTGGTATTAAACCAGTCCATCAGTGTATCATATCCCACTCACAGGCTTGCCATTCAAACTTAAGTCAGTCCATGATAGATAACCACACTTCCTTTGAAAAAGAACAGGTAAAAAACATGTGATTCCTGCACTCATGAGTGATCGAACACAGATAACATGTATTTGTGTTAATAATTCCTCTTTTCATCAATCTATCTTGAGTAAGAAGTCTGTTCTGTGTCGCAAGCCAAAACACAAATGTATTCTTTGGGTAATTCATCTTCCCCCATACTGTCTTGAACCAGGGCACCTCTGAGTAAATGGGGAGAAATTTGCATAAACTGCAGACAACTAAATTTTTGATTTCTTATAGCAGGAACTTAGGATTTGTATCAAGTTGTCTACACCTCCACAATCATCCAAAGCTTTATTCCTGATTTTGATTAGCTGTTTCCAACACTAGGAATCTCCTGTTCTTGCATTAACACGCCAGATATCTGAGTGTTTTAAGTAGTGTCCATGAATCCATTTTACCCACATCACTTCCTTGCTGATATGAATATATCATAAGCTTATTAAAGCTGTTACCAAGTTCCAAATAGAAGCAGAGAATACACTCAAGCCACCTTGTCTTTTTCCACTGCAAACTTTATCCCATGATACCAATGGAACACTACAAGAATTTTCAGATTTACCCCATAAGAACTTCCTGCATAACTCATCAATTTTCTGGGTAATTCTAACAGGAAGTATGAAACTTGATGTCCAAAAGTTTTGTATACCAAGAATCACACTTTTAATTACTTGAAGTCTCCCTGCATAGGATAGGTTATTATGTTTCAACCACTTATGAAACTGGCTTGATATTTTTTCAAAAAGTGGATTGCAATCCTCACTTGTAAGTCTTTTACTAATCAGTGGTACCCCCAGATATCTGAAAGGAATTGTGCCTTCAGTGAAGCCCAAGAAACTATGTATAGCCTCTTTGACAGAATCATTCACCCCACCATAGTATATAGAACATTTATCCATATTTGCTTCCAAACCAGTGGTCTCACTGAAATCCTTAATGCATTGATAAACTTTTGAACCGAATACAAGTCCCCTTTGACAAAGAGAAGCAGATCATCCGCAAAAATAAGATGTGAAATTTTTGAGCTTATTACACTTAGGATGATATCTGAAAAGCCTGTCACTTTTTAAAAGGTCCAATTTTCTCAACAAGTATTACATGCCCAAAATGAATAGGTATGGAGATAGGGGATCACCCTGCCTTAACCCTCTTTTTCCTTCAAAATATCCATGAAATGAACCATTCAGAGAAACAAAGTACTTAGGAAAAGATATGCAAGCCATGATCCATTTAATCATTACTGTAGGGAACCACAGCCCATGAAGCATTTCTTTCAAAAAGTTCCAGTTAATTGTATCAAAATCTTTCCTAATATCAATATTCATCATGATTCTTGGTGAGATGTTCTTCTTGGTATAATTTTTTGCAAGCTCATGAGCCAAGAAAATGTTGCTAGTAATTTGCCTTCCCTTGACAAAGGCACTTTGTGCCTCATTTACAATGCACCCCATAATTGGTTTAATTCTATTTGCTAAAATCTTGGATATGAATTTATAGAGGCGGTTGCAATAGGATATAGGTCTGAACTCTGAGGGTGATTTAGGACATTTTACCTTTGGTATTAGAGTGATGGAAGTAGAGTTGACTATTCCCAACATTTTTCCATTCTTGAAGAAGTCTAGAATAGATGCAGATACCTCCTCCCCAATCACAGGCCAAGCTGATTTGTAGAATGCTACCCTATATCCATCAGGGTCTGGAGTCTTATTATCATCCATGGAAAAAAATAGCACTTTTTATTTCTTCTTTCAAAACTGGTCTGGAAAGGAAATTGGCTTGTGATTCAGTTAAGCATGTCCCGGCTTTGATGACCTGAATGTTAAGTAAAAGAGTGACTGTGGATGCCCCCATCAAGCCTTTATAATAAGACACCAGTTCATTGGCAATCTCTTCTTGATCAGATATTCTTTGTCCCAAGTTGTTATAGAGCACCAACACTTTGTTATGATGTCTATTTGATTTTATCCTTGATGGAAAAAATTAGTGTTCCTATCCCCTTGAACACTCCCTTTAATCCTAGCTTTTGGTTGTAAAAAAGAAAGTTCACAATCTTGAAGCTTGTTGAATTTAGCAATACACTCTTTTTCCTCTTTGATGAATTCTGGATTGAGAGGACTAATCTGCAGGTTTTCTTGAGCTTCTTCAAGTGCAAACTTAACTCTTTGAACTTGCTCACTGATATTGTAATTAATGCTTCTTGTTAATGTCTTTAAGAGCTCCTCTTAATTGCTTAAGCTTTTTGCAAACTGAGTACATTTTATACCCATCAATCTTTGTTTGCCAAATTGTTGTAACATTTGGAAGAAAACTAGCATTCTTTATCCACATAATAAAAAATTTGAAAGGTTTCTTTCCACCTGGACACTCATCAAACAAAGATACTAATGCAGGGGAATGATTAGAAAAGTTAGGAAGTAAGAATTCAACCTGACTAGATGTGTGCAAGTGAATCCAAGCATCATTCACCAGAGCCCTATCCAATCTACTCCACACCCTTGAATCTTGATCTTGTTTATTGTTCCAAGTATAAAAACAACCAGTTGTTTTTAAATGATTTAAATTACAATCTTCAATAAATTCTCTAAGATCCTTTGTGTCAGCTTCAGAAAGAATGGAGCCACCTAGCTTTTCTTCATTACTGATAACAGTGTTGAAATCACCACATAAGAGCCAAGGTTCATTTCCAATGGATTGTTAAAGCATCTTCAATTCCATCCATAAATCCTTCCTTCCTTGCATTTGGTTCAGACCATATATTGAAGTGATAACACAGTCCATTCTCCCATCCAAGGATTTTACTTTGCATGTGATACTTTGATTTGATTTCTTGATAATTTGAATGTCAAGTAAATTTGGATCCCACATAATTAACATCCTAGTTTTCCATGATTACTGACATTAGATAGCCAATTCCAGTTTTTTGCAATTTTCTTTGCTACATCCTTCAGTCTGGTTTCTCTATTCTTTGTTTCAAGCAAAGCTATGTAAGAAAGATGATACTGAGATAAGAATAGCTTCACCAAGTGCTGTTTAGAGGATTTATTTAATCCTCTAACATTCCGAAATGATATATTCATTGAGTTAACTATTACCATACCTTCTTAATTGCTTTTAATTAAGTTCTCTAAGGCCTGTCGTTGGTCTTCCTTGTCTCCATTAACTGTAATCTTACATTTAGTGACTCAATTGTACATGACCAAGCCATTTCAATTGATTCAACCATTTTATAGCCATAAGTTTGTCATAACATTATCATCTCTGCTACACCGATCAGCTGTGAATTCCACACTATGTTTATTGTTTTTTAGGGTAACCTGTGCTTATTGGCAGATAAAAAAATTTATTCTAACTACTTCTACCTAAGTCTTAGCGATTTAACTTGCATAGAGAAGTTTATCAGTATATGTATACACAAAGAAACCCATACCTAATTCCTTCGTAGACAGGACATGGATAAAGAAAACAACAAGACCATAAAAAAAAAAGGAATAAGCAGTAAATTAGTTTTAAGTATTTGGTTGGAGAAAGGTTGAAAACACAAAGGTGAATCTGGATCAAGTTTTGCTAGGATCAGAAGGTTGAACAACATAAAGGCAACAACCGGAAGAAGACATTAGTGTTCCGCTTCGTGTGCATCTGGATCAAACGTTTAACATGTAAAGTGTACATAGAATTATGCAATTTCTAATTAATTAACTTCACATGTATGTCCAGAATACC